CACACACACACACACACACACACACACACACAAATAATCCAATTTAAAAATGGGCAGAGGACCTACATAGGCATTCTTCCAAAGAAGACATACAAATGGCCAACAGACACATGAAAAAATGCTCAGCATCACTTATCATCAGAGAAATGCAAATTAAACCCACAATGAAGTATCACCTCACACCTATCAAAAGAGCTAAAATCAAAATCACAAGTAACAAGTTTGTTTGAGGATTTAGAGAAGAAGGAACCCTCATGCACTGTTGGTAGGAACCCAAGTTGGTGCAGCCACTGTGGAAAACAATGTGGAGGTTCCTCAAAAAATTAAAAATAGAATTAATATATGATATAGTAATTCCATTACTGGGTATCTAGCCAAAGAAAATGAAAACACTAATTTGAAAAGATAATATGCACCCTTATGTTTATTATAACATTATTTACAATAGACAAATTATGAAAGCAGCCAAAATCATGACCATTGATAGATGAATGGATAAAGAAGATGTGGTATAGACATACAATAGAATATTATTCAGCCATGAAAAAAGAATGAGATCTTGGGGCACCTGAGTGACTCAGTCAGTTAAGCATCCAACTTTGGCTCAGGTCATGATCTCACAGTTTATGGGTTTGAGCCCCACGTCGGGCTCTGTGCTGACAGCTAAGAGTCTGGAGCTTGCTTCAGATTCTGTGTCTCCCTCTCCCTCTTCCCCTCCCCCACTAGCACTCTCTCTCTCTTTCTCTCTCAAAAATAAATAAACATCAAAAAAAAAAAGAACGAGATCTTGCATTTGCAACCACCTGGATGGACATAGAGGGCATAATGCTAAGTGAAACAAGTTAGACAAAGACAAATACCATATAAATTTCACTCCTAGGTGAAATTTAAGAAAGAAAACAAATAAAGGAAAAAAAGAAACAAACAAAAAAACAGACTCAAATACAGAGAACCAACTAGTGGTTGCCAGAGGGGAGGTGGGCGGAGGGTTGGGTGAAATACCTAAAAGTTATCAAGAGTGCACTTACTGTGATAAGCACTGAATAATGTATAGAACTATTGAATTATTATATTATACTCTTGAAACTAATATAACCCTGTATGTTAATTATGCGTCAACCAATCAATCAATAATTTAAAAAATTATAAAAAACAGGTCTTGAAAGTTGCACTCATGGTTTTAAATCTATAGCCGTGTTTCAAAGGACACACACACACACACACACACCTTTTTCAGTTTGTTTTAAATATTGAGTTTCATTTTAGTAAGATGTTGTTTGGATTAATAAACCACAGCTGAACTTTTTTTGGAACCAACTAAGGAGACTTTCTATTCTAGCCAAAATGGACTAAGAGGGGCTGTGTCTACCCTCCTTCCTAAAACAACAACTATAACAACAATGGCAAAAAATATGAAAAATGGTTTTTAAGACATGGACAGCAGGCAACAAAGAGATCGCTAAGAAATGAGAAGCCAAGGATGTCCAGCTTCTCAGTGCACTGCTTACAGTCTTGAGGGTTTCTTAGCAGAGGCACAGGGAGGGTAAAGTTCCCTGAATTGAGAACACAGGTCTGAAAATATGGGAGGATAGGCGGCCACAGTTCACAGGACGGAGCACCTGGCAGAGAGCTGCTGTGTAAAGAAAGATTTCCTGAGAGCTGAAGAGTCCCACTTGAGAGTTTAGCAGAGTACTGATTTGGGCAAATGTGAGCGGAAACTTCCCAAGGCTAGGTATTCCTTAACTCAAGGCAAAAAGAGATCACACATCACAAAAAGGGAGAGAACCAGTGCTCTTGCCCAGCCTCCTCCAAATGTATTTGGTCAAGTTCTTAGTCTTAAGTACCAAATAGCAGAAAAGATAAGGAACAGAGGAGTTTATTAAACAACTCCACAGGAATGCATCAGCAAATACAAACTATGGAAAGGTCTACCACACAAATACTCCAGTTTCTTCAACAAATGAGGAAAAATAGACGGGGGGGGGGAACCTCTAGATTAAAACAGAAGATAAATAACCATTTACAATGTGTGGATCTTATCTGTATTCCATTTCAAACAGTAAAAAGTCATTATAAAAATTTATGAGACAGTTGGGAAAATCTGAATATTGATTGTGTGTATTTGATAAGATTGAGGAAATATTGACTTCTGGGTGTGGCTTGTTTTATAGATGTGATTCTTTTTTTTTCAGTTAAAAAACAAGTCTTAATCTTATAAAGCTATCTGCTGAAATATTAAAGAATGAAATGATGTCATGTCTAGAATTGGTTTCAAAATAATTTGGGGTGGGGGTAGGAGATGGAAATGGGAATATGTTGAAACAAAGCTGTCCGTGAGATAATAGTTGTTGAAGGCAGGTGTAGTTGTGTGAAAGTTTATTATATATTCTATTTTTTCATATGTTTGGAATTTTGATAATAAAAATTTAGATAAGTAAATTAGAAATACATCAATAAATACATA